ATGCCACCATCCCCCTGTCACTCCTGGGTGCCAGTATGGGACCACTGGGCTGGCAGCAGCACAGGGATGTGCCACCATCCCCCTGTCACTCCTGGGTGCCAGTATGGGACCACTGGGCTGGCAGCAGCACAGGGATGTGCCACCATCCCCCTGTCACTCCTGGGTGCCAGCATGGGACCACTGGGCTGGCAGCAGCACAGGGATGTGCCACCATCCCCCTGTCACTCCTGGGTGCCAGCACAGGAGCACCAGGATGGCATCACCACAGAGACATGCCACCCCCCCCTGTCACCACACACCCACGTTGACCTCGGCTGGGCAGAGGTGCCAAGGCCAGCGCACATCCCAAATTCCCTGCCCGGGACAATCCCTGGAGCCAGCCCAGGGCAGAGGCTGGAGCTGAGCCAGGGAGGGGACAGTGCCCACCCCAGGGCATTGGGGTGCCCTGTGCTGGGAGGGGCTGCTCTCCAGCCGGGGGCTTTACTGGGGGTCACTGGGGGGTTACTGGGGGGTTAACCCACAGCAAGGCCGGGCACATCAAGGGGGGATCCGGGCTCCGACATCCCAAGGGACGGGAAGCCCGAGGGACCCCCACGCGCCTTCCGTCGGGAATGGGGGTGTCATGGAAACCAGCGGTTTCTGCAGGAATCGAAGGGAAAAGAAGAGGATTCCCAGCAGGATTTGGTGCTGGAAAACAGAAATCAGGCATGTGGGGGGGGGCTCTGCGAGGTGGGAGGTGTGGCAGTGCCTGGGCACCGGTGGGACCCTCTGAGTGGGGACACACAGGGGCCCCAAGCTCGGTCCCGTGGGTGTGTGGCAGTGCCCAGGTGCCGGTGGGACCCTCTGCCAACCCCCAGGGGGTTGGGGACACCAAGAGACCCCCTGAGTCCAGCCCTATAGGTGTGTGGCAGTGCCAAGGTGCCAATGGGACCCTCTGCCAACCCCCAGGGGGTTGGGAACACCCAGAGACCCCCAGCCCATTCCCATGGGTACATGGCAGCACCAGGGCAGGTGGGCACCTCTGAGGGGACAGGTCTGGAGGCTCAGCCCTGGAATGTGGCCAACAGCAGGATCAGACCCCTACATGGGGGGTCTGGGCTGTGCCCCCTCCTGCTTTCCCCCCAAGTCCCCTCCTGCAGCCCCTCACCCGGCACGGGGCCGGGCGCCTGCTCCCGATTCACCGGGAGAAAGATTCCCCTAATCACATAATTCCCAGAAGTAGGGCACGGAGCGCCCAATCCGCGCAGATTTGGGGCAAAACCAGCAGGGATGGCGCCAGGCCCGACACCACGGGCTGGGGCTACAGGGCTGGGCCGGACCCTGGGGCACGGCCAGGACTGGGGGGCCCGGGGGGCTGTGGGGCACAGAGCACTGGGGTGTCGGGGTGCAGAGCCCTCTGGGGTCTTGAGGTGCAGAGCCCTTTGGGGTGCAGAGCCCCGGGGTGT